AGCCATATTACAACCGAAAAACTATGCGTCAACCCTTCTGAAGAAGGGGGTATATGAATATCAAGTTGAAGGATAACAATCATAAGGGAGCTTTGTCGAGAAATCGCTGAGAAATTGAAGCTGAGTCCAATATGATAACCATAGCACCAACCTTTGACGAGTGGTATTTAGGCGTGGCCGGTGAAATTGGTTCTGTGCCAATCGAAGTTACCTGCGGACTGATTCAAGATAGGTGGCTTCCGAAACCTTGTAAGTAGTTGGAGCATAACAATTAAAAAAGATATTTATTGAGAAATCACACCCTTCAAGGCGAAACTTGAAAGTGGGCTGATGTGATGACCAGAACGGTGACATGCTACAATGGGCATGAAGACAAGTCCGGTGAAAAGGTCTCTATCCCACGCGAACTTGTCGGTGGATTCACGAAATGGAAGCGCTTTCTATTGGGTCATGAAATAGTGGGAAACCCTGCGAAAGGTCGACCATGTCAGTTACCCAATTTCCCACCTGCTCTCTTTAGACCGGAGCTGGTAGGTTCGCTGGCCTTCAGAGTTGTCAACCCGAAAACGCCTCCAGACGACCTGTCTTGAGCACCAGCCGGTTCGCGTCCATTTTGCGTCTGCATCGTGGCCTGAACAAATTTCGTCTCTGGTGTTGCTCTCGACATCTCGCCCGTTGTCGCCATCGCCATCGACGCCGACATTGACGTTGTTGTTGTCCACTTCGTCGTCGTCGTTGTCGTCGTCGTCTTCGGTGCGACCGTAGTCGAGCTCGTGCCTAATCCCACCTCTCGGGCATGCTGAAGCTGTGGTTGTGATGGCAACTGTTGTCCACCGGTCAGAGTGATTGTCTCGCTTCGCCGACCGCCAACCCGACAAGTGAACCGGCCGAGCCATTCTGACGCCAGTCGTGGAATCAGGTACTCGTAGCCGACAGTCCCATTGGCGAAGTGTACCACGCGACACACGACCTCAGCCAGTTTGGCCTCGTTTCGACACGAGCCCGGCTCTTCAGTGATGCAGGCCGATTGACAATTCTGAAAGCAGAAGGTGTTCCACGGCGCCAGAGGGCAGTCGAGGAAGATGCTCTTCTTCAGGTCCTCAAAACCTCCGCAACTCACTGTCACCGGCCCACCCAACAGAGCCGGACTCGAGCCGGTCGAGAAGACGAGACTGGGCCCCGTCTGACCATTCGATTGTCCCTCCACTCGGCATCCGACCATGACGACAACCACGATCAGGTACACTTTCAAACGTCGCCAAAGCGGCATGATCAGCCACTGGGTGGGCGGGCTGGCTGGCGACGAAGAGGGCCCGGGTGATGCAGGTACCGGTCGGCCGGGAGGCAGGCCGAGGCAAGGGCAATCACCCAAGCTGGCTAAGTGGGCAGACGGTGGTCCGTTGGATGGTGGAGAGACAAGCGTAGCCGACTCGAGACTGAAGCGATCCAGGCCACTTGGGCACCGAGCACTCCGCGACGGGCGGACACCAGAAGGCTGGTAAGCAGACGGACAACCTTGCTTGCCGTCATCACAGGACGGCGTGAAAAATGCACGCAGAATACACGACTCAGTCTCCCTTCTTCCAGACCGTGTGGTCACTCGAGCCCCAGCAACTCCACACCCGCCCACCTCCTCAACTTGTCTCGAGATTCTCTCCTTATCTCGGTCAATCTTTCTCTCGCTTACACCCTCATTAGCCCGAAGTCTATACTCCACCTCGTCTCGGAACGGCCTCTCTCTCTCTTTCTCTCTCTCTCTCTCTCTATTTCTCTGCGAAAGTCGTCAGGCCTCGTCTACCAAACACATGCACATGTACATGCACACCAGGGCTGAGTGTCATCCGGTGCCATAGGCAGGGCACACCGGCCGACAGTCAGGACGATACCAACGCCGCCAAATGATTGGCTGGCTTGGAGCAGCTGCCAGTTGTCAGCTAGATGGCCTACCACGTGTGTATGCCGGAAATGAGTTTTCGCGCATCAACGTGTGCTTGTCTGTCTGCTTGTCTGTCTGCTTATGTGTTCATGTGCATGTGGGTGTGCTTGTGTTTGTACGTGGGTTCGTTTCTCTTGGAATGTGTATTTGTATGTGTTGGTGTAGGTGCGGATGTGGATGTGGGTGTGGGTGTGAGTGTGGGTAGGGTGTGTCGATTGATGTGATCGGGCGTGTGTCGACGTGTCATGTGGGTCTCGCCTGCCTGCAGGGAAGAGACGACGCACAGGCTTTTTATCGTCTAACGAGTTCTTTCTTTACAATCTAAATGAGAAAATCAAGTTATTTTTGAGGATCAATCGCCATGTTAGCTGTTAGAACATGGCTAGAAGGAAGGCACCACATCCACATTTATGCCCTGCAGGCCTTTATTCGAATGCTTTTGGCCACGGCAACACATTCCCGAAAGGTAGAAAACTATCTAAAGCAGAAGAAAGCAGATTTTGCCAAATGGCATGTTCATTAAACGGCTGATTAAATAGAGCCAAAAGGAGTTTAATAGAAAGTTGTGGTGTACATTTTAGAGCTGTGAAGTAGCTTTTGCCTTGATTTGACAACTTGTCACCTCATCGTTTGGGTGAGACTAGCCTTGAAGATGTCAGGCTCTGAAACGATGGAGAGGTC